CTCATTGTCCACTTTTCCTGTTACCCGTTTATTGCACAATGTTGCGGGCAGACCTCGGGTCTTGACTTCAGTGTCCCTATGTGGTGTTTAGGGATAGCCATGTAGGCTCCAGTGGGATCTAAAGCCTGTTCCCCTTAATTTACCTTGGGCATGAGATCTACCTATGGGATCGTGTTCGTCATCTTTCTTAGCAAATGACTGCACAGCTAAGTCATAAAGCAGTTTTGTTCCCTAAATTATTGGTTACTTATATTAATTAGTAATGTACCGTCTGCCACACGGCAAAGGGAGTCTGAATAATATCCTAATAGTAATGAATAATATAAATTTGAAGAACAAAGTATCCATGCCGTTAGAAAAGGAAGTTAGTCTACTTTTCTTGTTGTCCCACATATTTGATAGAGATATTAATTTGAAATCCACAAATGTGGGTTATCAAATCATACTTATGAGGATAAAAATGAGCCTGTTTCCTCTATATTTTAATCAATAGGACTAGTTTTGAAGACCAATAATCCATCAGAATTACTTAAAAATGATTTGGAAAGCTTTATAAATGGAATGGTGGGAAACAGTTATTTGGGACAAAATACAATATTGGAACACTCTCTTATGTTCGTGATGTTGCCAACCAATCAGCTACCTAAAAATATAGACAAATTAACAAGGGAGTAGGACATTATAACAGTGAAAGGAAAAAATACCGATTTCGTTTGAATTGCTATCTTTTCAAGAATTTTCAGACCACTTCAATTTAAGTAGAATTGTAATTTTTTGCCTTAGAGCACCAGGGCAATCCTACTTCGGCTTCTGGTGAGGCTAATTTACGAATCCCTTCCATTTTTTGCCTCACACAAAATGAAGCTATGATAACAGGAATTTATGAAGGGGGTTTTCGAAACCAACCTTCTCTTCAAATTAATTTAGACAGTCTTATTTGCATGCATGTAGACTTGCGTACCAATGCGCATGCACATGTCTTCATTTCCGACGCTTGTTGGCCCACGAGACGACCTCCCTTTCTCTATGCTTACATCTGGGATTGGAAAAAAAGTCAATTTGTGATTGAACAGGTACCACAACTGGTCTTGGGTGAATTTTATCAAGATATGTTCGACTGTTCCAACGATGTCTGTCACGGTGGGACAGGCGAAATTTCGTCACGATTTTATCGGGGTCGTGGTGCGGTGTGCGAAGGACTTATTAACAAAAAGCTAGTGATAACTGCAAGGCAATCCTGATTCAGCTTCCGGTGAGACGAATGTATAACTTCCTTCCACTCGCTTCTTCAAACGAAATGCAAGGTTGGCCAACAATGAACTACTCTAACTTTTTGCTTCGTAATTGGCGGTCCACTTCGATTGATCCTCTGTCACGAGGACAATTGTAGGTTTTCTTCTGACTCTGGTATCGGAAGGTACTTGTTCAACCTTTTGCCGTAGTCGGGTTTCCCTCCAGCCAGGCTTGGAATGTCCAATATCAAGCCTAGATGAACCTTGAACTGTCCCTGTGGTCCGGATGCAACAGACAGGTCGGCTCTAGGGACCACAGCGATTTGACCAGTGACTTTCGTGGAAAGCATGCAGGGAACAAGACTTTAGTCATACTTCTGCATCTGACTCATTCTAAATGTAAATTTGTTTTGACTCAGTCTAAAACTCTTGCTCATGAGATCTGTCTGCTCTGGTCGCGGGAAGCTGGACCGATTTCCTGCTTTGTCCCGATCACTTTGTGATTGGTATCAACAATTCACATTACCTGGGAAGTGTCGGCATTCCAAACCTGTGCCTAGCTCTTTCTCTTTATTTGATTTAGGTATGTTGGTTTCCTACAACCACTAAGAGGTTCAGGTCTCACCAACTTTATCTTCAATCCAAGATAAAAAGTTAATTGGTCTAGTCAATGATGTCAACAGCAGTCAGGAGACGTCGGCCGTTAACATGAGCATAACCAGGACATGTGGACTTCTCTTTTACGCAGCATGCTATGTTTTCGCGCAATGTCATTTCCTCTTTCACTTCTCGCCCGCACTAACCTTACATCCAATCACCAAGTTTTGGTATGAAAATCTCATAAAACCCAGCCAACACTGAGCATTTTGCCACTGCTAACCTCATTTGAACATCCTTTTATCACACGCAGTCCTCCTGTGCTTAAGTCTATTTCATTTGCCAGGTAGTCTGTCTGAACATCACATTGCAAAGAGTCATATACGAAAAAAACCGATCACCAACGTGTATAAGAATAGTAGCTGGTTCTCAATGTGTCGCCTGATCTACTGACAGTGCTATGCTGGTGTTCATTTTGCGCAAGTGTGTTTGATGAAGGGTTGAGTGTGTCGATCTCGCCAGAAGCCGATGCTGGTTTCCATCCGGTCTGCCTGGCTTTGATCTTCTTCGGCTATGCTGCCTTCGAGACATCCCCGTCACGACCGAAATTTTGTCTGTCACGCCACATAACAGACATCATCGTAGCAAAAACACATTCTTGTCACCACTTCAAGTTTACAACACCTGGGCAAGACCAACCAGCTCATCCCTATCTAAGGTTAATAAACACAAAAATATATTTTCGAGTGCTCAAATACAACCTAACGAACGGATAGTTAGACATGAACATGAATTGACTAAATCAGTTTGAACTCCGGAAATTAGTTTTCTTGACTCGCTGTCAACCTTATGTCATTATCAACAAA